GGGCGGCCTGAGCGCGTGGGTCGCCTCGGAGACATGGTCTGAGGCCTGAGCCCACTGGGGGCGGGGCCCGGGGCGGGGCCTGAGTACGGTGTGGGCGTCGCCGGAGGGTCTTGTGGGAGCTGGGGGCGGGGCTTAGAGAACTAAGGGTGTTGGGGCGCAGCCTGGAGATTGGATGGGGTACCGGGGGTGGAGCCTGAGGGTTTAGGGCGGGGCCTGGAGATTTATGGGGTGCCCAGGGTGGAGCCTGAGGGTTTAGGGCGGGGCCTGGAGATTTACGGGGTGCCCGGGGTGGAGCCTGAGGGTTTAGGGCGGAGCCTGGAGTTTTACGGGGTGCCCGGGGTGGAGCCTGAGGGTTTAGGGCGGAGCCTGGAGTTTTACGGGGTGCCCGGGGTGGAGCCTGAGGGTTTAGGGCGGAGCCTGGAGATTTATGGGGTGCCCGGGGTGGAGCCTGAGGGTTTAAGGCGGAGCCTGGAGTTTTATGGGGTGCCCGGGGTGGAGCCTGAGGGTTTAGGGCGGAGCCTGGAGTTTTATGGGGTGCCCGGGGTGGAGCCTGAGGGTTTAGGTCGGAGCCTGGAGTTTTATGGGGTACCTCGGGTAGAGCCTGAGATTAGGGTGGGGCCAAGGGGCTCAGGTGGATTGGGGTCGGGGGTCTGGAAGGCAAAGGGTGTTTGGGGCGGGGCTGAAAGGCTGCTTTAGGTGCTTGTGGGCGGAGCCTTGGTGGTCAGCTGCAGGTGCAAAGAAGTCAGGGAAGCAGGGGCAAAGGACAGTGGGGTTGACGATGGTGTTCCCTCTCACTGCGCTTTTGTAATGGTGAAAGGAAACAACCATAACAGCTGCCAGGCGCTCTGGGAGCCTGAGGACACGTGCGTGGCTGCTGTCACTGTCACACTCAGCCTGTCCCCCACCCAGCTCACGCACGCACACACCACTGCATGGTCCTCTCCCATATCCAGTGTAGACCCAGGATCCCACCGCCTCTCACATCTTCCACTGTTACCTGCACCAGTGTGGGCTCCTTCACCATGTCCCCAGCTGTGCCATCTGTGCCGTCTGTCCCCCAGACAGCCAGAGGGGTCCTCTTGAAGCCTAGGGAGGTCACAGCCCTTCCTGGTCACTCACCTCAGTGGGAGTAGAAGCCCACTAGGCTCAAGAGCCATCCCATCATCTTCCTGCCCCCACTCTGCTCCAGCCATACAGCTGCTTGGCCACTCCTGGGACACACAGGCTTGATCCAGCCTCTGGGCCTTTGCACTGGCTGTTCCCTCTGCCCGCAGTACTGTTCCCCCATATGTCCGCATGCCTCAGTCCCTCAAACCTGTGCTCAAGTGTCATCTCCCCAGTGAGGCCTGCCTGGCCCTCCATATTTAACTGCAGGCCGCCCTCCAAACACACACTTGAGTCATGTGCAGAGGCTTGGACTGTCCCACTCCTTGTGGTGTCCCCAGCGTCCAGTGCAGCACTCTGCACATCCCAGGTGCCCAGTCGGCTTTGATGATGTGGTGCTGATAACGCCAAGGTCAAGAGTTCAGATCCCTTTATCAGGCAGCCACCAAAAAATTCAAAAACAAAAACATCAGTGACAAGCCAGCCAAACCTCCCTCCCTTAGGAGCCAGTGACTGTCCTCAGTGTCCAATCCACAGAGGCCTGTGGCAGGTGGCATAATGGACCTGGCCTACGTCTGCGAGTGGGAGAAATGGCCCAAGAGCACCCACTGCCCGTCAGTGCCCCTGGCCTGCGCCTGGTCCTGCCGCAACCTCATCGCCTTCACCACGGACCTCCGGAGCGACGACCAGGGTGCGCCCCCCACCCGGACCCTCCCCGCATGTTGTCATCACCCGTCCCCTCCCACTCCCATGATGCTGAGCATGCCACCTCAGGGGACCCAGGGTCTCTCGGGCCTTCCTGGGAGGCCCCCCAGCCACCCCTTACCTGCCCTGGCCCTCATCCATAACTTCTAGGGGTGTGGAGGGTAGATTTAGGGGCCTCCTGTGTGTGGTGCCAGAGGAAGCTGGTGTCACCCGTGTGCAGGATTGAATGGGTCTTAGGGTGGGTGAGTGGTTGACAAAGGCTTGTCAGAGGCTTGTGCCCCAGTTTTCTAGACAGCACACGTCACTGTTTTGCTTTTGAAAGCCCTTAGGGTACAAAGTGGCAGTGCCTGTCCTTTCTCCATTGTTGGAGTGATATGTGCTCGTTGGAGAAGATTAGGAAAGCACAGAAAATGAGGATGATGAAAAAGAACCACCCGTTGCCTTCCATGGAGAGATGCCCACTGTTAGCATTTTGGGGTCATTTTCTTCCAATTCCATTTTCTGTCTCATTTAAAAATGTGGTCATAGCCACACTGGTGGCCCAGGAGGGGGACAGCCTGTACCTCCAGCTGTGGCCATTGATGTGGGTAGCGGCAGCTCCGTGACCTCCCCGTGGGTGGCTCCACCGAGCCTGCCTGGGGTTGTCTTCTGGAGGCCCAGTGCCAGGCTGTGTTGACCACACCCTGTCCCCTGCAGACCTGACCCGCATGATCCACATCCTGGACACGGAGCACCCATGGGACGTGCACTCCATCAACTCGGAGCACAGTGAGGCCATCACCTGTCTCGAGTGGGACCAGTCAGGTGAGGGTGGGGTAGGGTTGCGCATGGCCAAGGAGAGTACGGTGCTGGCCCTGGGGGTGACCCCTTGTCCCGGAATCCCAGAGTAAAATGCTCCATCTTTTCCTGGCCAGTCCTGAGTCCAGAGCTGCAACTTGGCAGCTGCTGTTCTTCCCACAGTGGCCTAAATCCCTCTGTTTCCACATGCCCAGAGCCATTTCCTGATCACACCTCATACCACGCCACTGATCTGCCCTTGTGCGGGCCATGACCTTTCCATGGGGCTGGCTCTCCCAGCCCCCTGATGTTTTGTGGGGTGGCTGCCTCTGCCCATTGGAGGGCCTGTGATGCCAGATGTTCCCCACAGGCTCCCGGCTCCTGTCGGCTGATGGTGACGGGCAGATCAAGTGCTGGAGCATGGCGGACCACCTGGCCAACAGCTGGGAGAGCTCTGTAGGCAGCCTCGTGGAGGGGGACCCTATCGTGGCCCTGTCCTGGCTGCACAATGGCGTGAAGCTGGCCCTGCATGTGGAAAAGGTGGGTGTCCTGCCTGAGCAAGCAGGCGAGGTGCATGAGATCACGCACCTGGCCCACCCACCCGCCAGCACATCATCTCCTCTCCCACCTCTAGCATCCTCTGGTTTTTTGATTCCTGGGCTCAGCTCACATCTGCAATCAAGCTGTCAGTTAGGGCCTGTGTTTTCAGTGGACCACCCATTTAACTAATGGTTGCTGTACTCAGTGAGCTGTCCATTTAACTGATGGCTGCTGTCCCCAGAACCCAACCCACTCTTTGATTCAGTAATACCCCAGAATTCCTCTCTCCACACCCCATCATTCAACCCAGCATCATAGTTAAGATTGGGGGTCCTGTCTTCATGCCTCTCTGAATTTCCTCATTGACAGTGGGGTCACAACAAGGACTCAGTGAGAAGGTGTGGCCAGGGCAAGGCTTCGCTGCATCCAGGGGGCCCTCCTACACTGATGCAATGGGACAGACCTTTCCTTCTCGCCTCCTTCCCCAAGTCTGTCAATTTCAGAACATTCATCACCCAGACATGAAGCCCCGCCCCCACCAGCAGTCACCTGATGCTGGGGATGGGAACCCTCCCCCAGCCCTGACAACCATGAATCCACTTCCTGTCTCTGGATTGGCCTCTTCTGGACGTTTCATATAAATGGAGTCACACAATGGCCCTTTGTCTCTAGCCTCTGTCACTGAGCGTGACGTGTTCAAGGTCCATCCACGTGGTAGTGAGTGTCAGAGCCTCGTTCCTTTTCATGACCAAACACATTTGGTTTTAACTTGTAGGAGGCACTGTGCTCATTTAATACCGACACACATCGCCTTACAGCAGACGGGTGTGACACGTGTGTGTCAGATGCCGGCCCTTGTCAGTCCCCGTGGTAACCACTCTGACTGCTTGGCTTGCTGCCTGAGCTCCTGGACCTTCTCCTGGCTGTGAAAAGTTTGTCTCTTGAGTGTTTAATCTGAAGTGGAGTGATATGTACACCCTTTTCTCTTCCTTGCCTTTCTTCCCAGCATAGCAAGGACGTGCCCCCGTGCCCATCCGGCCCATTCTCTTGCCGGGTTCTAGAGAATTCTGTACTGCAGGTGTCCCAAGGTTCCTGCCAATGTTTCTCTTCTGGGAGGTCATTTGGGCACTTCTGGTTTTTTCTTTCCAACATTGCTGCAGGGACCATCTGGGCCCTGTGTGTCTGGGGCCTCGGTTCATCCCGGGCACCTGGTCTTGTAGGTCTGGGGTGGGCCCTGGAAGCTGCATTTAGTCCCTGCTCACCGGGAAGGGAGGGGGCACAGATGCTCCTCAGGCCACTTAGAGAAACCCTGTTTAGCCTCCGCAGTGGTTCTGTGTTAATGATTGAACAGCCTGGAGGGAGGGAAAAAGCATTATGCTAAAAGGAAGGAACCAGACACGGAAGGCCACACAGTCTGTGATTCCGTTCAGGTGACATTCCAGAAAAGGCACAACCAGTGACTGCCAGGGACTGGGGGTGTTGTGAAGGGAGGGCCCTCCTGAGGGTGGGAATGGACCGTGGCATGTGATTTTCCACAACAGCATGGTGAAACCTCCCACGTTGAAAGGGCGAGTTTTCTTGCACATGAATTATGACTTGTCTAGTTTGAAAACGTAACACAGCATCGGCAGCAGCCGCAGGCGCTTCCACAGCACCTCCTGCGTGCCTTCTCTCGGGGTCTGCACGCTGCAGCCCGCGGGCCAAACACGGGCCCGCCCGTTTTTGAAAATGATGTTTTATTGTCATACAGCCATGCCCCTCCCTCTAATACTGTCTGTGGCTGCTTCTGAGCTGTAAGTTAGACAGGGCCACAGTCGTGGTAGGGACCACCGGCCCCCAAAACTGAAAATATTGCATCTGGCCCTTTGCAGAAAAAGGTGGTAACTCCTGTTCTGTATGTGTTCATCCACGTAGTCCTCCCCACAGTCCTCCGAAGTTACAGATGAGGAGACCGAGGGTCAGAGAGGCCCACATCACACAGAGGCCAAGGCAGGGTTCAAGCTCAGATCCCTGCTCTCGTCCCTTCTGCCGCATTCCTCCTGTGTGTAGGTGTTGGTGTGGCTGTGGTCCCCCCATGGGGGCTTGTCGGGTCACAGGAGGCAGCCCCCGAAAGGCTGAGCAGGTCCCTCGCTCTCCTCTCCCCCTCCCCCACAGTCGGGCGCCTCCAGCTTCGGCGAGAAGTTCTCCCGCGTCAAGTTCTCACCGTCACTCACGCTGTTCGGGGGCAAGCCCATGGAGGGCTGGATTGCGGTGACCGTCAGCGGCCTGGTCACCGTGTCCCTGCTCAAGCCCAGCGGGCAGGTGCTGACGTCCACTGAGAGCCTGTGCCGGCTGCGCGGCCGCGTGGCCCTGGCCGACATCGCCTTCACGGGTGGCGGCAACATCGTGGTGGCCACGGCGGACGGCAGCAGCGCCTCGCCCGTGCAGTTCTACAAGGTGTGCGTGAGCGTGGTCAGCGAGAAGTGCCGCATCGACACCGAGATCCTGCCCTCGCTGTTCATGCGCTGCACCGCCGACCTCCACCGCAAGGACAAGTTCCCCGCCATCACCCACCTCAAGTTCCTGGCCCGCGACATGTCGGAGCAGGTGAGCGCCGGGGGCCTCACAGGGCTAAAGTCAAGGTGTGGGCAGGGCTGTGCCTCCTGTAGGTTCCAGGGCAGGACCCGTGTCCTCCTTTCCCAGCTTCTGGAGGCTCCTGCAGCCCTTGGTGCGTGGCCCCTTCCTCCATAGCGCAGCCTCTTCCAGTCTCTTTCTGCCTCTGACCCTCCTGCCCACTTTTATGAGGACCCTGTGAGGACACTGGGCCCTGGGTAATCCAGGATGACGTGCCATCTCAAGGTCCTTAATTCCATCCCATGTGCTGAGTCCCTTCTGCCATGGGAAGTGACATATCCACAGGTCCTGGAGGTCAGGACGGGGCTGTCTCTGGGGGCCATTATTCTGCCAGCCACAGCATAGTTGGATTGCCTTTCTAATCACAAATCAATGAGGCCCCAAACTTCTTGAAGCCCCTGATGTTTCCCTCTGTCCCTCTTCCTCCCCACTTTCCCGCCAGGGCGGCCACCGCTGTCCCGGGTGATGTTTGCAGAGGCAGTGTGGTGGGCGGTGAGTGTGGACTTAGGGACAGGCAGGCCTGGCTTGCGAGCCGCAGGTGCCACGTGAGCCCCAGTGGCCAGCTGAGGAGACAGAGGCCCAGAGGTGCAGTGGCCTGCCTGGAGTCATGGCTCACAGAGGGCAGAGCCCACCGTTGGAGCCCAGGGTTGGGGACAGTGGATGGCCCCGGGGTCCCGCCTCCTTACCCAGCCCCCCACCCCCGCCAGGTGCTCCTGTGTGCGTCCAGCCAGACAAGCAGCATCGTGGAGTGCTGGTCCCTGCGGAAGGAGGGGCTCCCCGTGAACAACATTTTCCAGCAGATCTCTCCCGTGGGTGAGTCGCCTTCCTGGGCACCCGGGTTTCAGTCCACCAAATGCGGGGAGCCATTCTGAGCGCTTTCCATTTCCTCTCCACACCCCACGGAGGCGGTGCTTTGTCATTACAGGTCAGCAGAGGGGGAAACTGAGGTTCAGAGAGGCGGAGTCGCTGGCCTGCAGTCACCCAGCAGGCAGACAGGCCGACTCGCAGTGGTAGCTCCTGTCACGGGATCCGCAAGTGCAAAGGTCCCAGGGCACAAGGCCGTGAGCCAAAGCAGGCGACAGGGCCAGGCAGGGAGGCACCTCACCCCAGAAGCCACGGAATCCTCCAGAAACCGTGGTTGAGTGTGAGGAAGCTGTTCACACGGCTGGTTTTCCGGGCCCCCTTCTCCCGCTCCCTCTGCCTGACGTGTACTGATGGCTCACTGACCGATGACAAAGAGTGGGTGGCAAGGGGGACCCACACCTGCATTCCCTTCCTCCAAAGAGCACATGCTCTGGAATTGTCCCGGCTCGGCCGGGACCCGCGACCATGACCGAAACCCCCAAGTGCCCACAGAGCCTGAAACAACCCAGGGAGCTAGAAGAGCCACTCGAGCTCCGTGGGGCCCTGGGGCCTGTCCACGTGCTGGTGCCCGCAGCCCCCACAGCCCGCTGGTCTCCAGAGCCTCTGCCCAGGAGAACGAGATGTTTTCCCAGCAGAGGAAGGCGACTGCTTTTTTCTGATTAGCACTAATGGACCCTGAAGTGGTCGTGCATTCAGGGCTCTAATCTAATGAAACTGTGTCATGAGGCCCCTCGGGGCTCCTGCTGGCCCGCGGTGGTCATGTAAACCGCCCATTGTGGCCTGCGGATTAATTAAAGTGGAGAGGGTCACCGCCACCCCTCCCTCCCACAGGCTGTGAGTCACCAGGGGTTTTGGGCTCCATTAGCTGGTTTGACAGCGGCTGGAGCCACCCCCCATGGCAGGCAGGGCTGTGAGGTTTGTGTTGGGGTCTCAGAGCAGCCCTGGGGGGCCCATGGGGCTGGGATGCCGACTCCCATGTCCTCCCTGTGATCTAGACAGACGCACCCAGGCTGCCTGACCTCTGAACCGCCTGCCCCCACCCTGACACGCCCCTCTCCCTCTTTCCCATCCTCCTTTAGACCCACAGCATTCAGCAACCCACAGCATTTCCAGGTGGACCCTCAGGTCCCTGCTCTGCCCCCCAGCACCCGCCATAGTCCAGCCCGTGGTCAGGGGCACAGTGAGTCCTGTGGGACCTCAGAGCCAGTTCTCCTTGACCAGCCGGGTGGACTCGGGCCCACGGCTCAGGCTGTCCCAGCCTGGAGCTCCCTTCCATAATTTAGAAATGGCGACCATAACCTAAAAGGGGTGTGTGCCGGCCGTAGACGCTCCCAGGGTGTTAGCTGTGTGTGATAGCGTCATGGCGCCCCGCTTCACTTGTTGCTGGAACTCTCTATTTCGCATCTTCCAGATTCCACAAATTTAGTCTACCCCTTCAGCACGTCACAAACCGGCCCTCGATTGTTCCCCTGGCGGGGCTGCCTCTGCAGCTGCTCCTCCTCAGTGTCCCAAGAGACCAGGATAACGCCTGTCCCTGCCTCTTGCTGCAAGGGGCTGCATCTTCCCTCTGGGTGTGGGGTGGGAGGGGCAGGTCTGTGGTCACTGCACCCAGCCCCGCAGCCTCGTTGGCAGGGGAGAGCCGGGCCCCACCCAGGACCTAGTAGATGAGGAGGAGCAGAAAGCTCAACTCAGGCTGGCTGGGTCAGGAGGGGAATTCCGGGCTTGGCTCTGCCATGGGGACAAGATGGCCCCACCACTGCCACCCCAGTTTCCATAAAATCCCAGGGCAGAATCCCATTGGCCCACCTTGGGTCCCGTGCCTGTCCTCGGGCATGGAGCGCTCTGATCGGCCAGGCTGGAGTCTTTTTCCTGGACTGACAGTAGGGCTGGGCGACCTGGGAAGGGCCGCTGGGCGGTCACAGTCTGCCAGCCCTGCAGGGCTCACTGTGATTGAGGTTTTCAGTCTCATCTTCATTCCCTCCCCTTCCCGTGTTCCTGCCCCCGATTTCCCAGTTGGTGAAAAGCAGCCCATGATCCTCAAATGGCGGATCCTGTCAGCCACCAACGACCTGGACCGTGTGTCAGCCGTGGCACTACCAAAGCTGCCTATCTCGCTCACCAACATCGACCTCAAGGTGGCCAGCGACACCCAGTTCTACCCCGGCCTCGGTATGGCTGACCCCTGGGGCAGTCGGCACAGCCTCTTGGGTCACACTAGGGGAGGTGGGCTCTGAGCCTGGGCCTGAGGGCTGGGGGAGTGCGGCTGCCTGGCTTCAAGGTGGGCCCCACTTTCAGGATCCGGTGAGCTCAGGGGTTGTGAGGCCGGCTGACAGAAAGCTGTGTCCTTTAACATGGAAAGAGCTGTTACAAATCAATAAGGGAGAGGTTGGGAACTTGGGGGCAAAAATTCCCTTCTGGATAAGTGCCCCCCCCACACACACACCTGTTGTAGCAACAGTGATGCGGGCCCTGGCTTCAGATCCTGGTGCCCACGCCCACGTGCACCCGGGGCTTGCCCTCCCATGCCGAGCCTCAGTTCATTCAGCTGTAGTGTGGGGATGCGCCCACCCTCATGCAGGCCCGAAACGTCCCCCAGCTCTCGTTCTGCTCCAGTTCTCTGGAAAGGACATTTATCCAGATCCACGCCAGGCTCAGGGGCTCTTCTTTGGAACCCGCAGAGGGTGGACGTGGACACACGGTTCCCCTGCTGTTCTGTCCTGTCCCTGAGTCCTGGGGCTCTGCACTCCACGTGCATTCTTGGAGATGAGACACCAGCATGACTATTGGCAGGTTACTTGGTTTCCTCGAAGCCTTGGCAACAGCCGATGGTCGGACCCCCACCACCACCCATGGACTCCTCACTTTGGGGCTCCAGGAGCCCCTGCCCCTGGGGTGGCTCACCTCTCCTGACCTCGCCAACCCTGCTGCACCATGAAGCCCTTGTGTGTGGTCCCTGGGCAGTCAAGGGGCTCCCAGGCCTCCTCCACCTGGAATGCCACCCCCACCTTGCCACCCAGAAGGTGCACGTCAGCCAAGACCAGCCCTGGCTGCAGGGGGCTGGGAGAGACAGCCTGCAGTTGATGACCACCCCTGACTTTCGGGGGTCCTGTCACTAAACGAAGAAGACAGCAGCCAGCTGTGGGGTGTGCGGGTGGGACACCTGGGGGGTGGGCTCACATCCTGCCCCAAATGGGCAGTCTCTGCTCGGCGTCAGTGGACACATCCCGTCATCCAGAGCTGGGCCGTCCCTGCAGCTGCTGGTGGGCAGGCCCCAGGCCTTCCCCCACCCTGATCCCATGCTCCTGTCCGCCCCCCACCACCCAGGGCTGGCCTTGGCCTTCCACGATGGCAGCGTCCACATCGTGCACCGGCTTTCACTGCAGACCATGGCCTTCTACAGCTCTGCCACCCCACGGTCCGTGGACGAGCCAGCCATCAAGCGTACTCGGACCACAGGCCCCACTGTCCACTTTAAGGCTATGCAGCTCTCCTGGACCTCCCTGGCCCTTGTGGGCATCGACAACCATGGGAAGGTAAGTGCCATTCCGTGCACTTCCAAAGCCAGGCAGAGACTGGGACAATTCCAGAGCGTGTGCTCTTTGGAGGAAGGGAATGCAGGTGTGGGTCCCCCTTGCCACCCACTCTTTGTCATCGGTCAGTGAGTCACTCAACCTCTGGACCCATCTTTGCTGGTCTTTAAAATGGGATTAATGTTGCTCCATGAGATACTGTAGAAGAGCCCTAGTGTGGTTTGTGGTGCACGGTAGCCACAGTGGCAGCCACCCAGCAGGACACGCACAGTGTCAGCTGAGCACAGTGGCAGCCACCTAGCAGGACACGCACAGTGTCAGCTGAGCACAGTGGCAGCCACCTAGCAGGACACGCACAGTGTCAGCTGAGCACAGTGGCAGCCACCTAGCAGGACACGCACAGTGTCAGCTGAGCACAGTGGCAGCCACCTAGCAGGACACGCACAGTGTCAGCTGAGCACAGTGGCAGCCACCTAGCAGGACACGCACAGTGTCAGCTGAGCACAGTGGCAGCCACCTAGCAGGACACGCACAGTGTCAGCTGAGCACAGTGGCAGCCACCTAGCAGGACACGCACAGTGTCAGCTGAGCACAGTGGCAGCCACCTAGCAGGACACGCACAGTGTCAGCTGAGCACAGTGGCAGCCACCTAGCAGGACACGCACAGTGTCAGCTGAGCACAGTGGCAGCCACCTAGCAGGACACGCACAGTGTCAGCTGAGCACAGTGGCAGCCACCTAGCAGGACACGCACAGTGTCAGCTGAGCACAGTGGCAGCCACCTAGCAGGACACGCACAGTGTCAGCTGAGCACAGTGGCAGCCACCTAGCAGGACACGCACAGTGTCAGCTGAGCACAGTGGCAGCCACCTAGCAGGACACGCACAGTGTCAGCTGAGCACAGTGGCAGCCACCTAGCAGGACACGCACAGTGTCAGCTGAGCACAGTGGCAGCCACCTAGCAGGACACGCACAGTGTCAGCTGAGCACAGTGGCAGCCACCTAGCAGGACACGCACAGTGTCAGCTGAGCACAGTGGCAGCCACCTAGCAGGACACGCACAGTGTCAGCTGAGCACAGTGGCAGCCACCTAGCAGGACACGCACAGTGTCAGCTGAGCACAGTGGCAGCCACCTAGCAGGACACGCACAGTGTCAGCTGAGCACAGTGGCAGCCACCTAGCAGGACACGCACAGTGTCAGCTGAGCACAGTGGTAGCCACCTAGCAGGACACATACAGTATAAGCTGAGCACAGTGGTAGCCACTTAGCAGGACATACACAGTGTAAGCTGAGCACAGCACCTGGCATGTCATAGGTCTGCTCACATGCCTGTACGTGGCTGGGTCTCCCTGCTGGCCTGGGTGGGCACAGAGCTGCCCTGTGGTTCCCATCTGCCATCACTGGTGGACATGTCTAAAACCCCCTTGCCCCCTACGTCCTCAGCGTCTCCCTCTGACAGGCCTCAAATCCGTGACGGGCTTAGCTCCCCCAGAGAATAACGTCTGTCTCTGCTGTGGCCCCACGGCCCCCAGGAGTGGGTTGTGCCCATCGCCCCAAAGGTGTAGTGAGGCCTCTTAAGCCACGTGAGGGAGATGTAGCTGTGAGCCAGGCTCCAGCAAGACCCTCTTACCGTGTGTCAGCCTCTGCCATGCCCCACATGTGCCCAGACTCTGACCCTTCAACCCACCCGTGTAACAGAGGGAACGCCTGGTGCTAGAGCCACCAGCTCCTGAGTGCCCGTGGGGCTGTGACCCCATGTCCCTCCGGTCCTCAGACCCAGGCTCTCCAGGGCTCCCACCCCCGCCTGTATGTGCACCTCTAGCCCCAGAACACACCTGCATCTCTGTGGCCTCACCTGGCTGTGGTCCTCCCCTCCTGGGCAGCTGAGCATGATCCGCATCTCGCCCTCCATGGGCCACGCGGTGGACATCAACCCGGCCCTGCGGCATCTGCTCTTCCTGCTTGAGTACTGCATGGTGACCGGCTATGACTGGTGGGACATCCTGCTGCACGTGCAGCCCAGCATGGTGCAGAACCTGGTGGAGAAGCTTCACGAGGAGTACATGCGCCAGAACGCTGCCCTGCAGCAGGTGAGGCTGCATGCACAGGGGGTGCTGCACCGTGGCTCTGCCCAGCCAGGCAGCACCGAGGAGACAGCCTTTCCCTGCTTTTCTTCTAAATTAGTTCTTAACCTTGAAAGTTTCCATATAAAAATATACAGGTGGGATTTGAATCCACTTGACCCCCAACCCCTCCCTGCTCCCAGTTTGGTCTTTTCAAATGGTTTTCTCAGAGTGGACACGGGTCCAAAGGAGGCACTGGCCAGTGCCATAAGATAAGTCAACAGAGGTTTAAAGATCAGAAAAAAAGAGAGAAAAGTTGTCATTCAGACGATGGGATCGCGTGCCTATAAAACCGAAAGCACCTGCGATGGACTGTTGAATCTCACAAGATCAGCAGGGTGGCCATAAGTGAGATCAGTAGTTTAAAAAATCAGTGGTTTAAAAAGAAAAAAGAAACCAGTGGTTTTCCTATAGACCAGCAATATCCAAAAAGGGTAAAATGGGGGGGAAATCCCATTTGTAATAGCAGCCTGCTAAGAAACGTGTAAGACTGTTACGGAGGACGCTGGGACTCACAGCTGATGATAGCATCACTGGCAGTGAGAAAGTCTCTCACTTCCGGGGCCCCAGCTGAGTGCCAAGCATTTTTATGTCATTCAGTGTTCCCCACCAGACCAGGTCTCTGCCCCTCAGCACTGTGGACACTTTGGATCATTCTCTGTGGTGGGGTCGTCCTGGGCTCTGCAGGGTGCTGAGCAGTGTCGCCAGCCTCCACCCACTCCATGACAACTAAAATTGTCCCCAGACATCACCGAGTGTCCCCCAGGGCAGAACTGCCAGGTGGAGACCCACTGCCCCAGCCCTGTGAGCTGGGTCTCTTAATCTCCCGTCTTGCCATAAGGATAGTCAGCACAGAGAGGTTAAGAAGCTTGCCCAAGCCTGCCCAGCGAGCGTGTCGCAGCTGAGTCACTCATAGCGCTTTGGCAAATGCCAAAAGTGTCCCCCGCCCGCCTGGCCCTCCGTTCATGCTGTCCCCCCCCGCAGGTCCTCTCCACGCGGATCCTGGCCATGAAGGCCTCGCTGTGCAAGCTGTCACCCTGCACAGTGACCCGCGTGTGCGACTACCACACCAAGCTCTTCCTCATCGCCATCAGCTCCACGCTCAAGTCCCTCCTGCGCCCGCACATCCTCAACACCCCCGACAAGAGCCCTGGCGACCGGCTGAGCGAGATCTGCGCCAAGATCACCGATGTTGGTGCGTCCCCACCACACAGCCAGCCCCACAGCTGGACTCTTGTGGCTCCTTTTCCTTCCCCGTCTGCAAAAGTGACCTAGGCTCCTGGTAGAGAATTGACCAAACCTGAGGATAGGCACACGCTGAGGACCCCTGCTGACGAAAACAGGCAGACCTCACGGGGCCCCGGAAGGCAGATTTGGGGGCACAGCCACGGGCCACATGGGAGCCACTCTTCTTGGTTTTTGCTTTTAAAAAGTTAGGTGTGTCACTTATGTTTACAGTATTCATTTTATTTGTAGAGTCGTGGACAGACGATGTTGAAACCTGGAGAAGGGGACATTTCCCCTCTCTGGGTGGCCATGAGATTTTCTGTCCAAACGGGCACACTCCACAGTAAAAATGGGCGCTATTTGTAATGATGCTGAAGGGGCAGGCTGATTAGCACAGCTGGTTAGAGCGGGGCATTGGTAACAAACACCAGGGTTAAGGGTTCGATCCCCGTACCGGCCAGCCACCAAAAAAAAATAATAATGATAATGACGCTGTGACAACAGGCACCGAAGGGGCTGTCCCAGGCAGGTTCGGTGGACTGTCCCGGGAACCTCTCCCTTCATCTGAGGCCCGTCTGTGCCCTGCCCTGTGTACACCCTCGCAGGTGTCTCTGCACTCAGGCTTTTTTCTGTGCACGTGGGCATCCCCCACCCTCCACATACACACACACCAGCTCCCCGATTGCAGACAGCCTAATCACGCAGGAAGTTCACGATACAGATGGGACGTGTCGTGAAAGGAAGGTGACCCGACTCTTCCTCGCGGCACTGACTCATTTCGTGGTGCCTTTTCGTTGTTGTGTACTAGTCCCGTCCACGGGTGTGCAGTTGTCCATGCAGCAGACCCTGCTGCCACCCGTTGGCTGTCCGACCATCACCACACAGACCATCCTAATGTCTGAGACCCATGTGCTGGCTCGTGATAGTTTTTGTAGGACCGTCATAAATGCAATCCCAGAAGTATCTGTTGGGTGTCTAACAGGTGCCAAGCACTGGTGGGGGTGGTTATGCTGAGCGAGGTGGATGGTCCCTGCCCTCCCGGAGCCCACCCTGTTCCTGGCAGAGGGACCTGCTCAGGCAGGACCCCAGGTGGGCAGGCAGTGGCTCCGTGGTTCCCCTCCATCCAGCCCTTCCCGTCCCCCGCATCCCCATCCAGGGTCAGCACGGTGGGCGCTCAGCCCGAGCAGGTGGCAGGACGCGGGTGCGGGGTGCATTCGGGCCCTGTGCGCAGCGTGTGCACACGCGTGAGGTCCCAGCCCCCTGACCGCCCATGTACTTGCAGACATTGACAAGGTCATGATCAACCTCAAGACGGAGGAGTTCGTCCTGGACATGAACACGCTGCAGGCGCTGCAGCAGCTCCTGCAGTGGGTGGGCGACTTCGTGCTCTACCTGCTGGCCAGCCTGCCCAACCAGGTGCGGCCCAGCCCCGCCCCCAGCCAAAGCCCCTCCTCCCTGGCTTTTCTCATCTGGCCCCACCCCTCCCCTTTTCGCTTCCCTGTCCCCAGGCCGTCCCTGACTTGGGTTCCAGTCCCAGTGGCCCCAGCAGATGACTTTCTGCCCTCCATGGTGCTGGAGGTCGCAGGAGCTCTCTTCTCCCGCCACCTCCTGGCTCCAGAGGCAAACCAGGTGCTTCGGTCTCTGGATCCTGAGACACAGGAGCTCGCCTCAGCCGGGGACTCCCCAGGGCACTATGGACACTGGGGCTGGGTCCTTCTCCGTGGTGGGCAGTGCTGGGCCCTGCGGGAGCTGGCAGTGTCCCTGCTTTCACTCCATATCAGGAGCATCCCCCAGTGGTGACAACCACACGTCCCCAGATATCGCCCAGTGTCCCCTGGAGCAGGATCGTCCCCAGGTTAGGGATCCCACAGATCCCCTAGGAAGCTGCACGCACGTCTGCATCCGCACACTGAGCATCTCTCTCTAGGGCTCCCCGCTGCGGCCTGGCCACAGTTTCCTGCGAGATGGCACCTCGCTGGGCATGCTGCGTGAGATGATGGTAGTGATCCGCATCTGGGGCCTGCTGAAGCCTAGCTGCCTGCCCGTGTACACGGCCACCTCGGACACCCAGGATAGCATGTCCTTGCTCTTCCGCCTGCTCACCAAGCTCTGGCTCTGCTGTGAGACGCCCCGTCCTCTGCTCCCATCACCCCATCAAAATGCAAGCCCCCTGGGCACCCCCACCAGAATACAAGTTCCCGCAGGTGGAAACCGCTCTGTCTCGGTCCCCTCCATTTCCTCAGCGCCTAGCACAGGTCCGGGCACATAGTGGGTGCTTGTTGGGTGTCAACAGGTTACATGTTTTGGGGGGGCCAAGTACTGAGCTAGCATCTTTGTGTCCAGGAATCAATGAGCAGGTCCCCATTTTACAGAGGAGGCAACTGAGGCCAGGGAGGAGAACATGACTTCCCAGAGTCACCCAGCAAGGCAGGGCAAGAACTAGTGCCCTGTGGGTCCTGAGGAGGCCACGGTGCATCCCAGGTAGGTGGGCGATGCTCTGGGTGGGGCCTCTGAACCGATATCCCCTCTGTCTGCTACCCACAGGCCGTGAGGAGGGCCCGGCAAGTGAGCCGGACGAGGCCCTGGTGGACGAGTGCTGCCTGCTGCCCAGCCAGCTGCTCATCCCCAGCCTGGACTGGCTGCCCGCC